CGCGTACGTGTCTCTACTGAGATGTACGAAGGGATTGACAACCTGAAATCCCTTTACGACCGTGCCGGGAAGACTTTCTCCGGCGGTCCTTCTGCGGCACAGGATGTGTCGCGTCGTACTGCTCGACCAGACCCAGTACGTCAACCATCAATTGGGAGCGGGGCTCCCAAGAATCCCAGGACGGGGGATAGCCGCGCCACCGGACGAGGTAACTCGTCCGACGTCCGTTCACGTCGCGGTGGTTCAACAGCTGCTCTACTAGATAGCGCTGGCCACCGCGAGAGTCCTCTAATGGAGGTGGAGGAGGAGGAAAGACGCTCTCCACACGATCATGTGGATCGGTGTGTTCCCGAGAGCTTCTTTGATCGCGTAACGCAAGGGTTACGCGACGATCTCGAGCATGAGCGGAATAGGCGTCTCCAGATGGTGGACACTGCCTCGAAGCATCGAGCTGAGTTTGCCTTTGCTCAGCTTGAGAACGAGAGATCTCTGACATCTCTTCGTGACGAGCTAAGGGTAGCTCGTGGGATTGTTGATCGGTCTCGGGCTGAGATAACTGCTCTTCAGACCCTTGTTGATGCCCACCATCGGGAGCACAAGGCTCTCTGCGAGATGCTTGAGCGCAAGGGCGTTCTTCATCGGAAGAAGCAGCGTACTGATGGTACGGCTTAAGCCGACCAACGTAAAACGTGGGATGCGTTCGCATCTTACGTGGTAACTCGATCGTGTATGCATTGCCTAGGCGGTGCAATACACGAAATGGGCCAATGTACTTGGGTAGTAGTTTACTGCTACCCAAGTTAGTCACTACATGTTTTGGTAGATTAACCGTAGACAGTAGGACTAAGTCACCTTTATTAAATAAAAGAGTGTTTGCCCTTCCATTCTTGTCAGCGTTTTGCTTTTGCTTATCCACCGCTTCGGCGATGGAGTCTTGCACAAAACGGACTACCGTTTCACGAGCCAGTATGAACTCATCTGATGACTCGTTAGCTTCAGTGTGCTGTGAGCGCACTGCAGCGACAACAACCTTTTCTTCAGTGAGGGCTTCCGCACTCTCACTGGGATCATTGTCTTCAGTGAGGGCTTCCGCACTCTCACTGGCATCATCTTCTTCGATATCGATGTTATCGATATCGGCATCAAACGCAATGACTTCTTCGTCAGAGCGTGATGAGCGTGAACCAAATCGGTTTTTGCTCGCGCGAGTCCCTCCCCCTTAAACCAGAGTTACACTCTAGTAAGGTGGGTACACGCGGATGGCGCAAGCCATTCACGTAAAACGGTGTATGTGTCGTGGACGCATGCACCGAGTTGTTGATGGCAAACTCTACCATTGGCAAAAACTCACTCCAACTTTTAAAGGAGTGTACGTATCCTCGAAGTATCTCTTCGAGGACACGGTTGGCACGTTCCGTCTGACCATCTGACTCTGGATGATCAGATGTTGACATCTTCAAGCGCGTTCCGAGTGATTTGAACACGGAACGCCAGAAATCAGCAGTGAATCGTGGATCTCTGTCTGATACGAGTTCACGGGGCAACCCATGAAGTCGGAAGATGGTGTCAATAAAGACACAAGCACAGCCACTTGCCGTGATTGTCTCTGGTACAGCCACAAGGTGTACCATTTTGCTGAATCTGTCAACAAATACGAGAATACCCGTATTCCCGCGTGCGTCTTTGGGTAACCCGAAGACGAAATCCATTGAGATGGATTCCCAGCACTCAGCCGGAACCGGTAGAGGCTGTAAAGGTGCACGCAGTGAAGGACTTGACTTCACTCGTTGGCAGACTTCGCATGCGCGAACATACTTTCGCACAAACTGATACTGGCGGGGCCAGTAAAAGTCTCGACTTACCGTGAGATATGTTTTCTCTCGGCCACGATGTCCTCCTATAGGAGCATCGTGATACTCGAACATGATCCGCAAACGCAGATCAGTATCATCTGGAATGACAACACGTGGTGTGTCACCAGAAACGGCTGTATAGTACAGTAAACCGTTACGAGTAGTGTATCGATCTGATGCAGATCGATACGCAGACGACAATCGTTTCAACGATTCTCGAGATGGTTGGGAGAGATGTGACAACAACTTCACTATCTCACCATCTTGGGCGTATGCCCGCCTCACATCATCATACAACGTTGTAGATGGAACTGAGGACGTCATAACCGCAACAGTGACTGTCTCACTGTTGGGTTTCGCGACTGTTTCAAAGTCGGGACGACGTGAGAGCGCATCAGCGACGACATTAAGTCGTCCTGGTTTGTACTCGACCGTAAAGTTGTATTCTGCAAAGAATGACAACCACCGCGCCATTCGTTGAGAAAGGTGCGGGCTGTTCACTGCCGTGCGTAAGGACGCATGGTCAGTGTAAACAACGAAGGGTCTATCTCCTAATAGATAGACTCTGAACTTCGCTAGTGCATACTTCATGGCAAGGAGTTCCTTGTCATGCACTGGATAGTTCCGCTCAGCTGGTTGCAGCTGACGCGACTGATAGCAGACGACGCGTTCAACGCCTTCAAGGTCGTACTGCATTAATGCACAGCCGATTGCGAAATCGCTGGCATCACAGACCACATGAAATGGCCTGTCCTGATCGGCTATTGCTAGGACTGGGGATTGTATCAAGCTCTGCTTGATACCCTCAAAGGAGCGTTGACATTCAGCGTTCCATAACCACCTCTCGTTCTTTTTCAACAAACGAGAGAGGTGCACAGTCATCTCGGCGTAATTGCGTGAATACTTATGCAAATACGCCGCTAGCTAAGGAATTTTCGAAGACCTTTGACATCGACCGGCACAGGCCAGTCGGTGATCGCCTTGATCTTTTCGGGATCAGGACGTACACCGTTCTTACCAACGATGCACCCAAGAAGTGGTATTTCGCTTGCTGCAAATATACACTTCTTGAGGTTTGCATACAATTGATGCTTTCGCATGATTGTAAGAACTTGTCGGACGTGGTACTTGTGAACCTCAACGTCCGACTTTCCATCCATAGCTCGACTATGGATGAATACGTCATCGAAATAACTCGGCGCGAATTCTCGTACTGGCCTCAACAGATGTGATACACACCTGTTGAACGTGGCAGGGGCATTACTGAGCCCTTGTGGCATTACTAGCCATTCCCAGAGCATGCCGCTAGGCGTGCTAACTGCGGTATAGGGTATATCCCGTTCCCGCATTAGGATTTGATAGAAGCCATCCATCAAATCCATGGACGAAAAGATGGTACTCTTTGACATACCATCAATGATTACGTCCTTCCTCGGTATCGGCGTCTGAGCCGGTACCGTTGCAGCGTTCAATTTGTTGAACGCGTGCACTATCCGCCACCCTCCTGTTGCTTTTCGCACACAGAAGGTCGGAGAGCTATGTGGGGAAGTTGATTCCCTCACATGGCCCGCTGCTAAACGATCGGCAAAGAACTTGTCGATCGCAAGTACTGTTCACGAGGCAGTGGCCACTGCTTCATGACACAGTACTTCGAGCCTGGTTTAAGCTCGACTTCGTGTCGAATACCTTTATCCTTCGGTAATTCGCACGGAACAGTTTCAGGGAATACATCCTTGAATTCAACCAAATCTTCATAGAGAGGGTTTTCCTTGAGCGATTCCCATGATTGGGACTCATATCGCTCAATTCGTGTCTTTTCATCTAGGACACTCTCGTCCATAGATGAACTACTGAGACTCTCTCGTTCTCAGTAAACACTGTTGCTGACCTTATGTCGGTTACACACTCGTCGTCAGCGACGAGTATGCAGATCTGCTTGACTTTGCCACTACGCAGATCACGCAAGAACCTTTTATGTTCGAGCGTTGGCAACTGAGTGATCTCCGAAGTTAACTTCGGAGGCGCAATCAGATCAAGTGTATAGCGCCTACACATGATCCGTTATTGACTATGACATTCAATGTCTCTGTCATTTCCTGGGGACTTATTCCCTCAGGCTTCGAAGGACTTATTCCTTCGTCTTCCCGGGGACTTATTCCCGCGGGTTTCGGGGAACTTATTTCCGCCGTATTTGTAATCTTGGGACTTATTCCCTTTACTTCCTCTAGCTGGGGTTGCGCAACCACAGCGAGATCCTCTACGAAAGACTCTCCAGTCGATCTAGGATTATCGTTTCGCTTAACCTGAGCGATCGATTGTTTCTCTTCTAGATGTTCCCCGCCAGGGATACATCTTTGTCCCAGTCCACCCGACTTATTCGAGTGGTGGACCTTCGGCGCAGCCTGTGTTTCCTCACAGCCGCCGGAACTTTGCTCCGAAGTGTAACCGTTTGGTACACTAAGGTTTTGTGCAGTCGTACTAACGACCGTACCACAAGTGAGGCCATCGCACTCACTCGTAGTACATCCACACGCTTGTGGACGCTCCAAAACGTTCATCAGATGGCCATCTGATGAACAAGCGGCAGGCATCGTTACTGTCCGATGTTGCCAGTTTACCCGTGGTTCGTACCTTCTGAGCCACGGTATTCCAAGGATGACATCAAATTTGTCATCCAAATCCAATACGATAAAGTCATCGTCGTATTGGGTATCTTCTAGCGTATAGTGAATCTTCACTATGCGCTTCATGACGGTTACGGATGCGCCTGTCGCAAGACGTACCGTCATCCTCGTAGGAGGTGTGTCACATTCACTGAATTTAAAGTGACCATCTTCTAGCGATTGGCGTCGCACAAAATTGTTGGACGCCCCACAATCGACTAGAGCTCGAAGGGACAACTTATTCGTCACTTCGAGTTTCAAGGTAATGAGTGAGATCTCATTACCTAGAGCAGCAACGCACAATGTCTGTGTGTTGGGAGCAACCTTCATCAAGAGGCCTACAAATTCTCTTGACGTTGCTGGATCAGTAGGGTGCTCCGCACCTACTGATCCTGTCCGTTTTTTTGACGGTCCATCCCGTTGTTGCGTCTTTGCACCAACTGCGGACCCTCGTCCCTGCCCCTTTCTCATGGGTGGACGGTCACTACGCCCAGTGTCGCGAGACACTGGACGAGGGGCACTACACTCGTAAGCGTAGTGTCCTGTCTTTTGACATCTGTTGCATCTCTGCAACTTCTTGTAGCCTGTAGAGCGAACCTTCTCGCTCTCTACATAACAGAGTTCCATCGGCTCTGGACCTCCGTTGTCATATCGTCTCGGTTGACGATATGATGTCGAGCTGGCGCGAGCCTGTCTCAGACTGAAGTCTTCCTGCTCCGCAATTGAAATGGCTTGTTCTAGTGAATCTAGTTCAAGCCGGAACAGGTGAGTCTTGACGGGACCATCCGCAAGACCCTGCATGAACACCGAAACCAACGTGTGTTCATCCACCGGATTGGAACTTATACAACTCGTGAGATGTCGTATATGTTGAGCGTAAGCGTGCACATCACGCTTACCCTGCTTGAGCTTCAAGAGTTCGGTTCGAGCCCTGAACTCAGCTCTAGGCGGTTCAAACGTTTGTCTGAGCCGCGACTTGAAGACTTCCAACGACCCAAACGCGTATGGGTCGTGCAGCTTGAGCCCCAGTGCCCAAGTCTTGGCACGTCCTGCCAGATTTGACTGGGCAAATGCAACTTGCATATCCCCGTCGTCGATGCGACGCGCCCTTATAGCGTCGTCCAATTCGACGAACCATCTCAAGAGGGAGTCTTCTTCGACCCCTCTATACTTTGAGATGTCAATCTTCAAAGTCTCGGGTCGACGCGAGTGCATCGACCCGCCAGCAGCAGCTTGCTGCTGTCTCAACAGTTCAAACTGTTGAGCACCTTGTTCTCTCAACAACTCTGCTTGTTGAGAACCTTGTTGGTGAAGCAAGGCTACTTTCTCGCGTTCTGCGTCAAGTTCATTTTGAATGAACTTGGCAATAGTAGCATGTTGGGCATCTCTATTGAGAGCCTCTAGCATGACGCTAACAGCATGGATGCCCATGGTCGAACCCATTCGTTCAACCGCATCCCATTCGACATCGCTCAAATGGGAGTAGCCGTCACGCGTAGCGTGAAAGCTTTGGTCATCTTCATCATCCAACATATTCATGTTGGATGTGAACGCGGTCCTTGGACGGACTACGAAGTGCTACCAGGTGTAACGGGGCACCCTGAAGCTTGTACTGGTGACAGTACAAGCTACTTATTCTGATAACAGAATAAGGCGGTGCCTCGGAGCTTCACGTACACTCGTACGTGCAGAGGAAGACGGTAAGAAGAAGCGAGTACTCGGTTAGAGTAAAAAGTAGAACTGTATTTATAATAGTTAATGTCTGCAATAAATCACTATTTATCTTCATCTAACTATGTCTAAATACAAATGTGTAAATCAATTATCTGCTCACCACTCATTGCGTGCGTCTGTCGTGGCGCGTCTTCGTTGGTTGATATAATGGCCTATATCAACCAATTAGGAACTACTTGGAAGTGCTACAGAATATTGTCCTTATGACAATATTCTGAGAATATAACTCTTATAGTTATATTCTATTAACAATTTCTTATAAATTGTTATGTAACGATTCACCCCGTTACACCTGTGTAAAAACGAAATGCTTAATTCGTCTTGACGAGATCGGCTTCAACTAGTGAAATCTTCGTCCGACAAATTTTTTTTAAAGCCAGTTTTTTGCTGTATGTCATCATTATCATTAGGCGTAACATACCGGCACTCGTTCGTTATGCTCTCGAGTGACACAGCGCCAACACAAGCTCAAAGAATACGCGCAGCTTGCAGTAAATATCGTTGTGCGCGCTAACTTATAGCCTGGTTGATGTTGTATCTACATTTCTATCCAGATGAATAGCGGGCCATCGATCGACGAATTGATTCATGTGGACGATCACGAGGTCACCGACACGGGTCGTACACTGTATCACTCATTATACATCATTTGATACAGCTGTCGGTCCGCGAACTTACGAAGTCGTTTAGTCAATGGGTTTTCTGTCTACCGAGCATTCGCGTATTTAAGCCGCCATATTGCGTCAGAGAAAGCAAGTCCATCATGGCCAATTTGCATGATTTGTTAAACCGTTTGTCGCAGCGATGTCCGTTTCTGTGTCCTGCTGTCTTCTTCAACACAGCTACCGAGTGCCAGAAAGTGACGCTGGCAAAGCTGACTTTTGATTGTCGGCCGATCTAGCATGTATTAATCAAGTGTGGAGTTGTTTGGGCGTCCAAAATGCATCTTAAACATGTAGTTAATGTTTAATCGCTCTACGTCGCGCCCGCTCTCTAGCTTTGCTCACGCTGAAGTTCTTCTAGCTCAACAGTTGACTCTTAGCTGTTGGTTGTGGTCGGTACTTGCGTGCTTTGATAACAATCATGAACTGATGAATATATGTGCTTGTCATCGACTATGACTAACATGCATAATTTCCTCTCCCTCTCTGCTCTTGCGCCTTCCTACAGACGCTGGCATCGTTACTGGTTGACCACAACAGTAGATGTGGGTCCCATTCACCTTGCTTGATCCGCAGTCACTTAAGTTGTTGGCGACAACAGCGGTCATGTGCAACAATATGTCACGACGATGAGTAATCAATAATGTCAAATGAGGGGACGTCACAAGGTTTCCAATGTTCCTGGCGTAGAGAAGCCGGACGCATTGGAAAAGACAGCCGTTGCACCAAGTATCTGACGAATAGCTTTCATCTCTGAAGCATCACCGCATCTTACCAATTTATGGGACGTGTTGTCATGCTAAGCGCATCTTTCGCGTTTTGTCTGCTGATCTGGGCTAACTCGGACATTAGGGTACTCTAGAGATGAGGTGGAACTAATTCATACCAATTTGCAATGTTTCTAGACGCCAGATGCGATTCGAGATCGATAGAGAGACGGCGAAGGCTACGCAATATCGCGTGATCCTTCCGTTTATTGTAGCACGTCGTTGGTTAATTTTTTTGTTTTTTGCATCGTATGAGTAAGGAAATGCGCACTCTGTCTTGCAGACAGGGGGTTCATAGACAGTAGACGGTACACGTGAACGACTTTAAGGCTGTGATTACAACCCAAACCGAGACGAGCTCCTACAGCCACATGATACCCGAGTCCCCACGCTGTTCATTGGTGCTTCAGCAATATTCGCAGACAGCTACATCCTGATCGAGCTTAGCACATTGTTACTCAACAATCGATCCTGGCAGCTCTGTTCGATCGCTCAGAAGGAAGAAGATGTTGATGCAGTCAGATGCATGCATGCTTTTTGTGGACCTGCGTGATACAGCTATCTGTTGATACAAACGATGAATTTGCAGACAGGGACAATTCTGTGAATGCAAATTCTGACACCTGGTCACTATTTCCGCAGGATGAACGAGGAGCGGGCGGTTTAAGTTCCGCCGCACGGTATACGAGGCCCGACATGCTGGATTCGAAAGGCATTCCACGTCACCATCCACTTCATACAATGGTCGCACAACTTCGTAAAGCCTCTTTGTATGTTTTTCTCATGACACTGCAAACTCCTCAACGCACAAACAAAATGTAGAAAACCAGGAAATCGGTGATTGCCAGTGCCACGATGACCATATAAAGACACGCTTTCTTCCGCTGCGATCGAGTGGCTATCATCTGTAAGAGGCGGCGCACTTGGCTCGTCATGCCCGACGTTTCTGACACCATCCCCTTCATCTCGTGGAGCTGGGAGTGCTGCAACTCCAGGTCAACGAGAACGTTTTTGGCCACTTCTTCCGACTCCTCGACAGTGCGTCGCGTACGCTCGATGTTGTCGGATGTGCGCATGAGCGACTGAATGCTCTTTTTCAAGTCGAGCCAAGACCAACAAACACATACAAACCTTATTATCCTCTGCATTAAATTCGTACGAGTTCTAAGCGCATTTGACACACCTGATCCGTCGTGAGGAAGGTGTTGTAGTTGTCTCTATTATATTTGGTGGAGTGTGGTCCCCCACCGATGACGCCACTGCCACTTCCAGCCGCAAAGATACCCCCACCGCCACCATCATCGTGTGCCTTCGACATGATGCGACTGCGAGTACACTAGCCGTTTAAAACTAAATGCTGACTTTTGTACGACTGGTCGGACACACTATTGAGTGACGCGATACGTGTGACCTGTGTGGTTGATATTTTTCATGATGTATCGTACACAATTTACATTTGTTGTCCCGCATGAGCTTTGGCAAGACCAATTATCGCGTGGGCGGCACCCGCGGTGGCGCGAACGGTACGACTTGTGCTCGTTATACACCTTATGGTCAACCAGCGAACTATACACATTCAGAACGTGTATACGCTTGCTCATGTATCGCTTTCATTCCATTCCTTGCTCTCTCTCGTGTCAGAATTTAACTGGGAAGACGTCAAGAACGACAAGTATAGGGAGAATTACTTGGGGCACTCGGTACAGGCGCCCGTTGGTCGTTGGCAAAAGGGAAAGGACTTGTCGTGGTATGCGAAGGCCAATAAATTACAGCGAGATGAAGCGCTGCAGTCAGAGTTGATGCTGGCCAAGCAGAGGGACGAAGATCTCATGAACCAAGCTCTGTACGGATCGTGGCAGAAGATCGATTACTGTATATTTGCATGCGAGCTTATGGTCTTGTATTGCTATTATGTTGCTACTTCGATGCAATGACAGAGGCATTGCACCCAGAAGACGTCATGCAGCTGCTGAAGGTTTAAGCTCGTCGGAAGTAAAGGAGCTGCTGAAACGCGGAGAATCCGAGCGCGATGGTATGGACGTTGAACGGATCGAAGGGTTGGGCGCTGCACCAGTGGAAGCCGCAGGTTTTGGAACAGGACCAAAACGTACATTGGCTGAGAGGTACAAGGATCAACTTGTGAGTGGCAACGCAGAAACGACGTATGCGCTGCCTGGTACAGGAGCTGAGCCGCTAACGGAGAAGGAGGCACAGGCTGAAAGGAAGAAGATGCGCAAGGCGGAGAGGGATGCAAACGAACGTAAAACAAAGAAGGAGAAGAAAGACCGCAAGAAAGAGGAAAAAGCGCGGCGCAATAACATTCGTGATACCAAGAGTGACAGCGACAAGAAGCCGCGTCATGTGCGGCTTGACCGAGATGATAAAGATACTGGATTTCGCTCGGGATCTTGGTCTCGGTCGCCTCCTAGGCATTCAGGAAAGAGTCGGGATGCAGCTCGACGATCACACACTGAAAAGCGACACCGCAGCGGTCGTTCTCGCTCGCGCTCTCCACATAACCGTCGTAAGTATGCAAGTTCGTCGAAAAGAGCGGAGCAGCTGAATTCTCGTGACAACGCGCGGTATCCAGACAAGCTTCACCATCATCACTTCCGATCGGCATCTCGATCTCCTGCTTCAAAAAGACGTTCACACTCTCGTTCCCGGTCGCGTCACGGCTATTAGTCAGCCGTCATCCGAAGGGTACAATTGACGTGTTATTTCGTTTCTGCTTCTATTCCCCGGGTGGTCGTAAAAGTAGCTAACTAGCAAGCTGCCTCTCTATCATTCCGCTTACTCGGGCTTGGATGTCGTATGCGCCTTCTTCTGTCGCCCACAGCGCTCAGAGCTGCCATCCTTAAGCTCGTACGCAGGCAGATAATGTCCTCCCTGACCCTCCTCGCCTTTTCGCCAGAGCTCTGGGTTCTGCACAGTGTCAAAGATGTTGCCTAGCGAAGTGAACCCGTGATCGTACAGCACACAGTATTCCAGTTGACAGTCGCGTAAGAAGCTCCAGACATCCGCGTACGTCCACCGCAAGATCGGGTTCACCCGCAAAAACGGCGGCCACCCCGAACTGCTCGGCGAAAAGTGCTCCATGTCCTCCGTATGTGGATCTCCTCCCCGCACGCCCATATAAATGCCCTTGATCTTGAGTTTCTCCAACATGTCCTTCACGCCTTCGACGAACGAGCACTTGTACACGTGGCAATTCAGGGCGTATTTCTTCGAACACGCGTCGGTAAAGTCCCGCACCTCTGGGAACTGCGCGGACGAGTCAAAGTACATGACCGGCACGCGTTGCAATCGCGCACGGACGCGTTCTTCCAGCTCTTCTTCGTGCAACAAGTCAGCCGAGACAAAACTCTTTCGTGGCGATGTCACAGTCGTGCCGCCTTGCGCTTCCTGTCGCCGCTTCACGTCCTTCAACTGCGCCTCTTCCAACACTTGCTTGGCGACTACAATGCGGAGCAAGTGGAGCAACACTGTCGAGTCTTTTCCGCCGTTAAAACTAAAGCACACGCCCTCCAGACCGAAAATGTCAATGGCGCTGCGTATGACGTCCAGCGCCTTTTGCAGTCGCGTCTGCATTGCTAAATCAGCACCAGCGAAAAAGAGATCGAAGCGAAGAATTGTCGCTCGCATCGTGTGGTCGACGGTCATAACGTGACGCTCAAACGCCTTGAAACGACCAGAAGCTCGGGTCGTGTAAACGCTACACGAGTCGAGGGTCTCTTGCGTTGCAAATTGGAAGATGAAGGCTTTGAAGGCTCCACGGAGTACGCCTGACAAGACGACGAAACAGCAGCACAATGGTCGTGATTATAAAAAGATTTAGTGACACACAGACTATGCGGATTAATTGCTGACGTGGTGGTAGGGCTCAGATACGCTTTTGTCAGCGGATTGGACAGGAAAAATAGAGCGTTTACGAAAAGAGTCAGTTCCTAAACGCATGTAGCACACAGTACAGCTGCAATCGGAACAGCGTTCACTATGATACGTTTTCTATTTCCAACGTGAGGTCCGACGGCCGCTACAGCGACGTGATGTCGCGACCGTCGAATGGTAAAAGTGCGACCGTCTCGATGGTCTCGACTTTTTCTTGGACGCTAGTCGCTGCTCTATTGACAACCAATTGGCATGATGTCGTGAGACAGGTTGTTCATCAGGCTCGAAGCAGACAGAGGGCTTCTACCCACTCAACCAGCGCTTTATTTCAATAGTAAAGGTTCTTGTTCACGCAGCGCTGCTGCTTCCGTAACATTCGGACGTGGACGTAGGAGAGTGTTAGGCTAGGTTTTAAGCTGGAGTTACCCGCTATATTGATACACGAGGTGGGGGCCATCGTCACTATATGAGCACAGAGTTCTCACAGGGCGTCCCTGCTTTTCCTTTCTGGCTAAACTAATTAGCTTTGGATAACCAAGTGTAGCGTCGCCACAATTGCTCACCGTTTTACTAGTTTCGGGTGCAGCTATCATCTCCCCTTCACTTCGCTTCTTTGGATATTCAGGCACTTTTCCTTTACCTTCCAAACGCGAAATACAAACGTATCTAGTTGTGCAGATGACTCATAACTTCGCCGTCAAAGTGAGTGACTCCGTAAAATTTGCGAAATCCGCTACGGCGTATTCATGTTATTCGGTCTCATTGCGACTACGTGGTGACTTGGGCGGGAAATAAACTACCTTGCGTATCCGCCTCACTTCTTACTGCTCAGGCTGCGCACCACCGCCGCCCATCTGCTTACCGGCACGCATGACCTCATCGACAAGCAACAGCTGCGAAGCCAATGTCGTGGCAAGGTGGACAAACTGTCGCTTCACCCGATAATTGTCCCAAATACCTTCCTGCTCAGGCAACATGGGTTCGCCCGAAAAGAGGTCGATGCCAACCGGCATGCCCGAGTTCTGGTGCTCCTCCTGGACGGCGATCAGAGTGTCCTGCACATCTAGACCCGAGTTTTCAGCCAGCACCTTTGGAATCACGAGCAGGGCGTCAGAAAAAGCCTGTACGCCAAGCTTGGCACGGCCCTTCACCGTGCCCTTGAACTTGTCAAGCGTCTCGTGGGCACACAGCTCAAAGGCAGCAGCTCCTGGCACGACACCCCTATCTTCAATGGCATTGTTTACAGCACGAACGCCGTCGCGAATAGCGTCCTTGATCTGTGCAATCGTATGCTCATTCGGGCCCTTGATCAAAATAGTGCACGACTTTGGGTGCTGGACGTCCTCCACAAAAGTGTAGCGCTCTTCGCCAAGGGTTTGCTCGTACACTTTGCCAGCATAACCCAGCATGGACTCGTCCATATCATCCGTCGAGTTGATCGGCATACCTCCGCAAGCAAGCGTTATCCGCTCCATGTTCCGACGCTTAGCACGGCGCAGAGCCAAGATGCCTTCCTTTGCCAGCATGTCCAGCGACAGAGGGTCAATGCCCTTCTGATTAATGATGACAAAGTTCTTCTTGTTCTCTTCCGTGCATACCTCGCGCTTTAGCTCAATAATTTGTCGCACCTTGTCGTCCGTAAACTTGCGCTCTGCCTCTACCATCTTTTCACGCTGGTCAGCGCTGTTGTAAAAAAAGCCCGAGTTCACCTCGCTCTTCTCGTACTCCAAGGAAACGTTGCACGTCATGACGTAGCAGTTCTCCAGTGACGTGGGCATGTCGGGGTGGCGCGATCCATGGTCAAGCACTAGACCCTTCACAAGACGGCTGTCGCTACTGCTTTGATGCATCATCTATACAACACATATTTATCAAATCAGCACTTAAGCATCGGAGACCTGTAATCGTATGGACAACAGTAAAAGACACTGCCCACATCACGTACGTGCATGATCTCAATCATATGTAGATCAACTGATCGATCGGGCACAGCTATCGTCAGCACAGCGTCCGTAATGATCTCAGTCAGTTGGTCTGCAAGTTTTTGGTCCAGCTTGGTGCGCAGCGACGTGCGTGCGACACTGCAGAGCAGCTCCCGGTCCTTGAGGATGTCCTCGGACGTGACCTTGAGGCTTTCTAGAACCCGTAGCGCTTCGTCCTTGGCAAGCTCAAAGCCCTCGGACAGGACACGCGGGTGCAGACCGTCCGCCAAGAAGCGCTCCGCCTGCTTCAGCAGCTCCCCGATGAAGAGCACCGTAGACGTCGTACCATCACCCGTCACATCGTCCTGTGCAGTAGCCGCTCGAGCAATGAGCGCCGCCGTCGGGTGCTGGATCTGCATCTCGTGCAGCAGCACGTTGCCGTCTTTCGTCAGTTTGATCTGGCCGGCGCCACCCACGAGCATCTTGAGCGTGCCTCGAGGTCCTGCCCATTGAGTTTGTAGCCACAAAGCAATTTCAATAAAGACACGAAAGCACGAAGAAAGACAGTGGAATACGAGAGGAATGTTAGAAAGGTCCAGCAGATAAATGTCATAGACTTGGGCACGCGCACCCAGATTGGATTTGAGCACGCCCTGCAGACCCTTGGCGGCGCTTACGTTGACCATGAGCGCCTGCGACTTGCTCACGATCTCAGCGTTAGGGTTCATACCACGGTAGCTCATGGCTGGCTTCGTCGACTTCCTTGGCTGTCTGAGGCCAAGCGAGGAGTGGTGGCGATCTCGACGGGAGGTCGTTGCAAACGTGCCGAGTTTCTGGTACAGTTGTGTGGGTCACGCTGCTTTTAGTGAACTGGAAGGGGCACCAAGACTAGCACTTCTATCGATGTTATGATCTGTCAACGTTTCTGTCGACAGCACATCAACGTGAGTTCGTCTATGTTTCGCTCTTATCGAATTCTAGTTCTATGCGAATACAATGCGTCCGTTTAAGCGGTGGCTTGTCGATGAAAAGCTGTATTAACGACGCTATTATGTTCGATGCCTGCGTAAGTATTGTGGCAAAGTCACACGTTGCTGACAGTCCAAGCCAAACTCCGATTTTATTGTCCGACTTTCAATGTACGAACCACATGATATGTATGTCAGCCGACCTCGTCACATCTCTTTGTCGTAAGTCTTCAATCTGAATCAGCAAAATAGCCGCCTAATCGGCCGTCATCATTCTTTGGATAGCTTTGGTCACGATTGTTAGCATTTTTATGGCTCCAGATTGTCTACATTCCCTGCCAGATAAAACTGTATACTCATACTTGTGTATCCTGCTCAGTCAGTTTAAGAAATTAGCGGACGCTATTTAGATACGTGACGTAAATTATGAGCAAGCTCTGGAGCTTGCCCTTCGATGTAGGTAATCCAGTTCGGAGAACTAAATCTAGTAGTAAAAACTATACGACAGCAGTCACCAACGAATGAGCATGATAATGTTAAAAAGTATCAACCCAATTCATTATACGACGCAACACGATCAGCCTTTGCCTATGAATCGACGATCAGCCTTTGCCTATGAATCGACGATCAGCCTTTGCCTAGGAATCCAGTGTTTGCGTACATGATCATATTAATCTTTAATCGAGTTTAAGCCTATCAGAAGCTTGCGCTACAATAGTGACCTAGCCAAAGATTGACTTCGTCCATGCCTGTACACATGTGAGGGGGAACATACTAGATCACACTTAACAGGTAACGGGGCACCAAAGCAACACACTTGAGAACCAGCATGGAGATACTTTCATCGGTTGGGTGTGAATGGTGCCTCTCTACCTCTGTAGTCAGGCAGAGGAAGAAGAAGCAACTAGGAACTGACTAGTTGCTGGTAAAAATAAAAGGTTCTTTTAATTTAATTAAGTCCTCATCATTAACCCATGTTTTAGTCCAAACTAAAATATTTTTTATCTACAAAAATGTATGCTAAAGTCTTGCTCACCACTCATTGCGCGCGTCCATCGTTGATTGGACCGCTAGAGCTGGCTGATATGATGACCCAAATCAGCCAATCGATGAGCTTTTTGAGTTTTACTCCTTTTGGTGAGATTCACGAACATTTTCATCCTTTCGGATGTCATTCTGATTAACAAGTATCAAATTTAATTACATGTATTATGATCACCCCATTACACAAAACGTGAAAGGAACACCTATCCGCGTTATCTACAGACAAAAAAATGCATCTATAAGTGCAATTATATATTTTTGGTATCTGACCTTGCGCACACTAACTAAAATTTTACCAATTTGGCTTGCATTAGTTTGATCTTAGCACATTCATAGTGTCACGTATGGCACAAACTATTCATCAATAAATATAGATCAACAACACTAACCAATAAAGCCTATCCACGACCAGTAGAGCGCAATGAGTGCTGAGCATCTGGTTACAATTATTGTTTGTTTTTAGATATATTATAGAAGACCGGATTTAGTTTACTTAAAAAGATTTTAATCAAACTAAAACAATTTTTTTTACCCTTAAATTGTAATGAAATCTATCTCCGCATGACGCGTGTGCGTGAAGCTTAACGGCATCAATTACTTTGTGCTAGAAGTAAGTCGCTTTTACTGCCACAGTACAAGCGACCACTTCCTCTTTACACGTGATAGCACTTTGTAGCCATTCCAAACCACTTTAGACATGTTGAAAAATGAAACGAAAGACTTTCACTAAACGCACAAGAGCTACTTTTACATAATTCAAATCGAATGGGATGCTATCAAACGCTTAAGTAAGTCGATAAAGCAAGAAACCATAGTTTCAATGCTGTCCGCTCCAGGTCATGACGGGCAACACCTTTCCATCGCCAAAGTCATTTACAATTGTTTTGCTGCTGAACGGGAAAATGTAGCCTTGCTGTACCAAAAAGGGTCTTATCGGACAAAGCAGTTGAAATAACAACGTGTTTGACCGTTTGAGTTGTTTGTACAGCAGGAGGCTGCTGCTACCGGGCCGACTTACACTAATTTCGACCTAAATCGCTAAAGATTGACATCTCCGAATACAAATTAGATACAGAAGATCCTTTGTTGAAAAACTTTGTGGAGCTAAATGATGACATAAGTGCCCGTCACATCGTCGATGAGAAAAAGCACTTCGCATTTGCGTTATTGGACTAGGCAGGACGTGCGAAGACTTAGTCCTTGGGCCTCAAGCTACACTTCCCTTTTCATTGGGTCGTTCAAAGTCTTTAAGTTATGCTTTTGCAAACATTCAAAGTACTGCAAGCATTTTGAGGGCTCGCTCAAACTCTTAAAGTTTAAGCAAGGCAAACGTGATGTGCCCATTAGCATTACCGTAAATCCTCAGAATGAACAAATGATTATTGTACTACTCATGTTGCACCTTGCCGATGATCCAGTCAGGATCTATCTCTTCTGACTTAAATTAGATACCCTGGGACAATCCGTGTAGCGGTACAAGAACTTTTCAGCAAGAAAATTTTCTGCGTGAGGTCAAACTCTAATCGTCCCGTAATGCAACAGAAAATTAAAATCCAGAATTGTCGGACTTCGATTGCATAAAAAAAAGCTGTCGAGTTATCAATTATGTGAAACTGTAGAGTTGCAAGTTATGTCAAGAGAAAGGGCACTGTGCATACGTTTGAAGTGACCCGTACGTGGTACTGTTTTCCACAGAAACAGCAATCGGTAAGCCGAAAAGCGGGGTCCGAGGTGTGGGTATGATATTGTTGCAAAGTCGTTACAATGTAACGACCAGCCTAATTAATCTTGGGGTTAGTGGGTAAGAAACACCTTGCTGATTCATAAACACATAGTATATTTCCAGGCCTTTTAATGATAACTGATCCTAAACCACAATTATTTTGTGCTTCTGCATCTGCTAAAATTTAATCCTTCAACTCTTAGCCTCGAGTTAGCAAAGCATATGCTACTACGAGACCTAATCTATTTTGAGTCGTCGAATGAATTTGTAATACGCTTGACGCTAGATGACATCAATTCTGACTTTATTAAGGGCAGATTCCTTGAACGAGGATGGTGTACGCCTCGCAACAGAAGAATATGTAATAGTGAAGAAACGTGTAGTAAGGATTACCCATACACTGAAAGGAAACCATCATGACGATGACTTCATCGTATTGGACTTTAATGACAAGTTTAAAGTCATAGTTGGTGTACCATGGCTCAGATGATAAACCCACAATATGGCTGGCAAATTCTAAATAGTCGATATGCCTAGCTCTTGTTCACCAGGTGGCCATCTGATGAATGTCATGGAGCTCCCGCTCCGATGCGGGTGCCGCGAGTAATTTGGGATGAAGTTGTGCGTGGTTTGATCGTTTTTACCATTGCACATGAACACCAAAGGACAAAAAATTAGATTCAAAATCAATTTTATCGGGCTAGGCGGAAGATAAAGATCTTGCGGCAGCGTCGCTGACGGCGAGCCCGAGCACAAAAAGTGGTGGCCGTTGCCATCGTCTTGAGCTGAATGTTATGTAGTGACTTCCGAGTCAAATTTATGATCGCCAGAACAAACGGAATGAAATATGCTATTACTCAGGCTGTAAATTATGCATTTGAAACATCACCGATGGTTGAATCTATTGTTGAAATAATCGTCCAAGTGGTAGTTAAAACGACTCTCTATTACTTATACAAAAGCGCACCTAGTATTCATTGTCGTACAACATCTACCGTAATGCTACACAAAGGATGAGGTCCATGTGCACTCGTGCAGGACGGCTAGATTTATAAAAGAGAAAGAAGTTGTTCGCGTAGTATTTTAATCCCGTTCATGGCCCTCCGGCTTTTCACCCACCTGTCCTACTTCATATAATACGATCTCACCTGCGTTAATATTACATCTCGTCGTTGGTGGTAGAAAGAGCAACAGGTACATCGGTCGAAAACTTAAAGCAGCATATCGTGGTGATAAGATCAAATAAAGAAGAAGCTAGATTGTTATGGGAAATGTCGTTGGAAAGATTTAACAATACTGATGTCTAAGTGAGAAGGTACAAGCCACAAAGATATACTGTGAGTGTCCTATTACAAAATGATGTATCCCCACAAGCTACATTATCTAAAAAATTGAAATGCGAAAAATGACAAAAAATTAGCTTTCGCGCAGTACTCCACCTTACGAGATACTGCCTCGCTCGTGATCATAAATAGAGTCGTTGACTTACGGCAGTTCTTAAAATACTTGCCATTGATGCTGTAGAGATTCGTCGTGACAATTTGCACTTCAATATTAAAGTGACGCAAAGGTCTAAACGCTGAATCGGCGTGTCTGTGCGTATACGCTCATGAAGCCCATCACAAAGGACCTGATTACGAGTCTACATATTATTGAGAATTGTAAAAGATTGTAAAAGTACTAAGTAAAGGTTAACTATTTTTGTCGCGAGGCCGAAGGGTGAAGCTGTTGGTGATTGTGTGCAAAGTGAATGCCGTGCTTATATTATCGTACTTATCTGTGTGTATGCCTGCCCGTGTGTCTTTCTCTGTGTGTTGTAGCTAAAGATAGACGTACCTTAGACTTCGTACTAAGTTCGAATCAGTTGGCCATCTCCTGTATTGTGGTTACGCCCGGTGTACCTAACACGTTGCACTAAGTGCGATTTGAATTGGAATCTATTGTTCCCGTGAGTAACGCCTGGTGTACTGTGCACGTTGTACTAAGCGAAATGTAGACATCCCCCTCC